ATATATATATTATATATATATGCATGCAAGACTATAAGTAAGCTTAGATATAAAATTAGTAATAAAAGCTTCCTCAATTTTTTATCCAGGAGGTAAATTAGCGCTTTTAATTTTAAAGGAAATAAAAAAGGGGACAGGCTAGCTAAACGTTTTTTTTTTTTTTTTTTTTTTTTTATTTTGTTTTGTTTTTTGTTTTTTTCCACCAATAAACTTTGTTCATTGTATTTTGGGTTTTTTTTTTATTATATAATTTACTCTATTTACCTCGATTTAGCTCTGTTGAGCGTGGTACGAAACCGTTTCGCTAGCCCGTTTTTCTTTTTTAACTTTTATTACCAAGAGTGGTAATAAACGAATTTTTGTCTATTCATGGCAGTGATAAAATTTTGTACCACAAACATATCTTTAAATAAATAAGACAAGGTACCCTACCTGATTTAATCGGTAGATTGAATTCCTTGTTAAAACTTAAAATTAGAACTGCCGCTGTTAACAAATCTTTTCTTCATTTGTGCTTGACTAATAAAGTCTGTTCCCCTTTTATTTCCTTTAGAATTAAAAGGGCCAATTTATATCCAGGACAGAAAATTGAGGAAGTTTTTATTACTAGTTTTATATATATATATATATATATATATATATATATATATATATATATATATACTTTAGTTTGGTTATTTGGTCTGAATTTTGGAAAGATGAAGAGTTAGTGAGAAACAAGTATGGTTTTGAACAAGTTAAAAAATGCTGGATTAACAATTAACAAAACAAAAAAAAAATGTGGCACAATACTACTTCGATTTCCCAGTTTCTCAAATTCGCAATATTTTTAAAACGAAGATTTTGATAAGTGTTTCATTCATTTTCTAAGAAATATTCATAAACTTACCTCACTCAGTATTCACTGGATTTTCTTTGATGCCATATTTTTCACTATAAGTTGACTTATAAAAGTCATATCCTACCAACTATCTTGGGTATGCAATTGCTGATAAGTTTATAATGGCCTCACAAAAAACAGAAGCCAAGGAGAGATCGGTTATTTGTTTTTTTTTGTTTTGTTTTTTTTGTTTTTTTTTTTTTTTTTTTTTGTTTGTTGCTTCAACTGATTTTAAATCCTGCAGCTTTTTCGTTCTTGTGCTATCACTAGCAAGTGATAATTGTTCGTTCGATCCTTTAGATATCGGGGACGCCATTGTAGTGTAGTGTTACTGACTCACGGGAAGTAGTATGCACTCAACTGCCTCATGGATAATAGCAGAAACTATTTATAGTTTTTCTGATTTAATATGTAAATAAGGCACATCAACCCCAGATTTCTTGTCTTGATTCCCGCAAAGTAAGTTTTTAAGCAGTGTGGACCTGTGTAAGAGTTCTGTGGCCCCAGGAATATATGATACCCCCGATTCTATTATATGGCCCTACCTAATTTATAATATTGAGCCCCCTACACATACACGCGCACACAAATAAAGTTCTTCGTAATGTGTAATCTATTCTTGAGCGTACAAGCAGATCTAACGACGGTTTCTCCTGCCGGGACGCATATTCGAATCCTACCGGAAAGTATATCTTTTTTAATAATACTCACAAATATTCATATATATATATATATATATATATATATATATATATATATATATTACCATATATATATATATATATATATGTATGTATGTATGTATATATATATATATATTGACCCATTATATATATATATATATATATATGTATGTATATATATATATATATATATATATATTAAACCATTATATATATATATATATATTGATCACTTATATATATATATATATATATATATATATATATATTATATATATATATATATATATATATATATATTGATCACTTATATATATATATATGTATATATATATATATATATTGACCACTTATATATATATATATATATATATATATATTGACCACTTATATATATATATATATATATATATATATATATATATATATATATATGCCATGTGCAATAGGTAGTAGTCGTAACCCCCCACCTCCAGAATTTATTATATGGCCACCGTCTCTGCTTCATCACAATTTCCATAAGGTAGTATTCATATAAAATGCAAATTTTATTGTAACCTAATTATATTCAATAATAGATCATATGGAATATAAATGAAAAATTCAACTAGAAAAATTGAGAATAAATACAATGTATCTAAATACAAATTAGAGACATGTCATAATAGATCATTCTATCTTAAGTCGACAATGTTTTGTGGCAATTTTTAAATTTTTCAGATTTTTCTTTTTAAAACGTTGAATTTTAAGACATTCAACATTATGGATAAAAACATGATTAAATTTATAGTCTTTTTACGAGACTTTGCATGAGCGAACAAACAAAAAAAAATCACGGATTTGATCGAAAAAAAAAAAAGACCCCAGAATGACGTCAAAATCCGCGAAAATTTGTCATCCTTTGTTGTCAGTTCTATTTAGTCTAATTTGTAACGTATATAAATGTAGGTAAAAAAAAAGCAAATGTTGATAAGATAGTGACGGTCCCGAAAGCACTGCCCGGGGGTCCCACAGTCAGGCTTGCGCCCCCAAGTTGATACAGCCGGGGATAGTACGCACTGGTTCCTTTTTTAAGTATCTATTTTTACGAGAGTCAGCAGTGTAAATAAAAGAGAGAGATTGAAAGAGTAACGAAGAAGAAAAAGTTAAAGATGTTATCGAGGTATAGGAAAAATCAAAACCGAAAAGGTAGAAAAATTTAACTATCTAGATAGTGTAGTGACGGACGACTGCAAATATAACTCCGAAAGCCGAAATTATATTGCAGCGTCTTTCAAACGGTGCACCCGAGTGCACTTATGCTGCTCGAAAGGTAACCAGGTGCACCCCAAGTTAACTGAAGAGTAATTTATCAATTATATTTATATTAAAAAAAAAATATTTATTTTTAAAAAGCTTGATACACCAAGTAAATGGCTGCTATGTCTATGCCAATTCGATGTGATTTGATATTTTAATTTAGACGCTAAATCCCTTAATCTCTAAGAATTGAATAATAATTTCCACTCTGCCTTCCTCAGGGGATTTAAATTAATCATTATCGGTCTCTCTAAAAAAAAAAAGAGTTTTGAATCAACGCACAACAAAGAAAATGGCAGGAAAGGTGTTTAAATATAAAAATATTTTTACAGCTAAATATTTCTTAACGTGTATCAGTATTAAAGTTCCTTAAGTCCTTGTTTGTAGCTGATTGTTAAAAAAAAGGAAATGTGCGTGTATGTGAGAGAAAAAGAGGCAACGTAGAAAGTGAGGAAGAAAGTGTAAGTGTCACGTAGCTTAGTGAGGAAGAGTTTAAAAAACATTATGAAAATATTAAATACATTTTTAAAAGTAAAATTACCAGCAATGCATTTCATAGTAAAAAAAAATTAACAGCTGTACTGTCGTCCCTCGCCACTTCACGCTTCGACTTTCACGGCTTCACTCTATCGCAGTTTTTCAGATCTTTTCATTAAAATATCATTTCGCGGTTCCTCGGTGCTTCGGGGTTGACTACGTTCTACTACAGGGTTGGAAAAAGTTTTTGCCCATATCTCAGAAGCAGACACACAGCCGATCCTTCAGTTAATCGAGACAGTGAAAATAATACAGCGTGTGTTCGGTTGTCTAAATCAATTATACACACTTGTATTAAAATTACTGTAGGCCTATGTATTCGAACAATCCCAAAAATCCTTCAGCGCCAGATGCAGCCGCTCGACCACTACTTGTTTGTGGACAAGAACTTTTTTCAGGCTTGTATTATTCAAAAATCGGGTGTGGTGAAACCAAGGCAATCAGAATATGCTGTTCACTGATTGGCTATTGCTGTGGGTGTGCTGTGGATCACTTGTTGATGATGTGTTTGGCTGTGTGTTGGGAGAAAGGAGTCCGCAAACAAAATTGTTCAGAAGAAAATAAAGCCAAATTTTATTTTTGCCAATAAAACCAAAACTACATACAAAGATATTTATGCAAATCGGATAATTGATTTCAAGGATGCGGTGAAAAGAAAGCATCAAATTATGGTTATTAGTTCTTGTATAGGAATAAAGTGTCGCTGCCGACACATGAGTTTGAACATAGATCGCCAGAGAGTAAACACAGGCGATCCCATTATTGATATAGTGGATCACGTGACCATAGAGAAAACGCACATATAGGAAGTCGCGTGACGTCTAGATCGATCTGCATTTTCTAGTCGATCCTCTATACTATTCGGATCGTTATGTCTACACTATCCTCTATTACTATAAGGACCGCTGTTCTCAACTCTATTCACTATACTATTTCTCTATTCTGATCACTATACGGATTACTATTTGGATCACTAGCCGTTGGTTACTATTCGGGCGAGTATTATCGAGCAAGTGTTATTAGTTCGAGTGATATTCGAAGGCACCAGTATTGTTTCAATGGCGTTACTATAGTTGTATCTGCGATTACAAAGGCAACAAGCATTACGAAAGTGACAACGAATGTTCGTTGACATCAAAAAACAAGGTATAAAGAATGTTTATGCAAATGATTTAGAGGAGCAGTAACCTTTGTTGTGCAGTACATCTCTTCATCGCTTCATCATCAAAGATGTATTATTTTCCTGGCTTCACACTAACCTTAGAAAATAAAGCAACTTGTTCGATGATAAAGCGATGTACACAGAACGTTATGAATGATTTTAATGTTCAATAATAATAATAATTGCAACGTCTAATATGTCATATTTCCTCTCATATTGTCTACTGGGTAATATAATAAATATATATAAAATCATAATAAATATATATAAAAGTAACCATCAGTATATGGATGTTATTTCATGTCTAGCAAGCTCTTATAATGTCAAAAAACACTATTTAGAAGGTAAACAGGTTTTCTATGCTCTAACTACGAAAATATTCGATTTATAAATAAAGAATCCTACTTCGCGGAAATTCATTAATCGCGGTAGGGTCTAGGAGTGATTAATCGCGATAAACGAGGGACGACTGTATATTTCATCTGTAATTGAAGGCATACAATTGTGTTCAAAATATATTGACGGCCTAAAATTGTACTCAAAAATATTTAGATTTCGGCATTAAATAACCCATAGAAATGTTAATATGCCGCGAAACAAAATCTAAAAAAAATAAAACAACCCTTGCGTCTTAGTGGCTTTGTTGTCTTGCTTGGGGTGAGCTGATTAAAACAAAAATGTCAAGTGAAGCAAAAGAAAATAGGTGAGTAAACTACTTCATGTAGCTAGATGGCGAAACAGGGATGAAGAACCAGAACGATAGGAAGTTGTAGAGAGCCACGATCGTCCACGTACTGAGGAGATATGTGACGTAAAAGAATAAATCTTTTAAGTGCCTACCGTAGCGTGGTGATCGGGTCGTTCAGTTCGCAGGCCAGTTTGAGTCTTGATTTATGCCGCATTACTGTTACTTTGGGCCAATGAAAGTCAAGCAAATAAGAAACTTACCGTAGCGTTACGACCGGGGGGGGACTCACCTTGTAAACCTGTTTGTCACGCGTCTCTTCCTTCCTGCTTCCTAACATTTCATGACTTCATTCCTTTCGTGCTCCAATTGTTCCCTCTTTCATCTTTTTTTTTCTTTCCCAATTCTCTTCTTTCGTTCCTTCTTTGCATTCTTGCTTCATTTTTATTCCATCATTCATTTTTTTCTTTCTTCTTTTCCTTCTTATCTCATTTTTCTTCCAGCTTTTATTCTTTACTTCCTTTTCTTCTATATTTCATTTTTTTTTCTGTTCATTCTCATCCCTAAATTCCTTTATTTTCTTCTTCCTTTCATCATTATTCTCTTATTTCACGTTTCATTCTTCTCTTCCTTTTCCTTCTTTCCTCCCTTCCTTACTTCCTTCCTTCTTTCCTTCCTCCCTTCCTTCCTTCCTTTCCTCCCTTCCTTTCCTCCCTTCCTTCCTTCCTTCTTTCCTCCCTTCCTTCCTTCCTTCTTTCCTCCCTCCCTTCCTCCCTTCCTTACTTCCTTCTTTCCTCCCTTCTTTCCTCCTCCCTTCCTCCCTTCCTTACTTCCTTCTTTCCTCCCTTCCTTACTTCCTTCTTTCCTCCCTTCCTTACTTCCTTCTTTCCTCCCTTCCTTACTTCCTTACTTCTTTCCTTCCTCCTTCCTTACTTCCTTCTTTCCTTCCTCCCTTCCTCCCTTTCTTCTTTTCCTCCTTCCTTACTTCCTCCCTTCCTCCCTTTCTTCTTTCCTCCCTTCTTTCCTTCCTTCCTTTCTTCCTCCCTTCCTTCCTTTCTTCCTCCCTTCCTTCTTTCTTTCCTTCCTCCCTTGCTTCCTTCCTTCTTTCCTCCCCCTCCTTCCTGTTCTATTTGTCTTCGATATTTAATACTTTTCCTTCTTTTCATTCTTGTTTTATTTTAATTCCATCTTTCATTCTTTTCTGTGTTTCTTCTTCCATTCATTCATTTCGTTCTTGTCTCATTTTTCTTCTCTCTTTCATTCCTTTCTTTCATCTTTTCTTCCTTCATTTAGTTTTCTTATATATTTCATTCTTTTTTTTGTTCATCTTCATTCCTTCATTTCCTTCTTCCTTTCATCATTATTCCATCTTTTATTTCCTTCTTCTTTTTCTTTTCCTTCTTCCTGGTTCCATTTGTCTTCTATATTTCTTTTCTAGTTTCTCTTTTTCTGTCTTTCCTTCTTTTCGTTCTTATTTAATTCGTTTTTTTTTTATTCTTTTCATTTTTTTCCATCTTGTGTCTTTTCAATTCTTTCTTCCTTTCTTTCTTCCTTTCATGCTGATTTCCATTTTACCTCTTCTTTTCAACACTTTCCTCTTGTCTTCCTTCTTTTCTTTCTTTCCTTTCTTCCTTTGTTCTTCCTTCCTTCCTTCCTTCCTATTTCCTCATCTTTCCTCTTGTCTCTTTTCTTTTTCTTACTTTGTTTATTCCTTGCTTTCGTTCTTCATTTTTCCTTCCATATTTCATTCTTTTCTTACTGTCTCTTTTCTTTCCTCTCTCTCTCTCTCTCTCTCTCTCTCTCTCCCCTTCTGTTTTTTTTCCTTCTTGCCGAATTTTAGGTCTGACTGATGACCTCAACAGTGGAAGCTCTCCGCGTGTTGCCAGAGACACTTTGTCCCGCCCATCGTCCTTAAAAACCTCTACAAATCCTTGGTACACAACAGCCGTCAAGTCACCCACATTTGTCATTATTTCAAGACGAGTATGTTTGCCTTTATATTTATCTTGTTAATGGTTCAGAGTTGAGATGTCTGTTGGTGGCCATCATTACATCTGCTTCTTCTGCCTCCGCTTCCTCTATTTCCCTCTCAAACTCAATTTCTTATATATATATATATATATATATATATATATATATATAGAGAGAGAGAGAGAGAGAGAGATATACTATATATATATATGTATGTATGCTCCTATCTAATCTCCATATATCTATTTCATCTCCAAGTATATCTATCTATCTATCTATCTATCTACCTACCTACCTACCTGTCTTCTTCATCTATCTATTCCATCTCCTCCAAGTCTATCTATCAATCTATCTTCTTGATCTAGCTGTCTTTCCTCTTGATCTATCTTCTGTCTTCATCTATCTATCTATCTATCTGGCTGTCTGTGTCGTCTTTATCTATCAATCTATATGTCTGTGTCGTCTCTATCTATCTATCTATCTGTCTGTTGTCTTGATCTATCAATCTATATATATGTGTTTCTATCTAAGTCTCCTATATATCTATCTATTATAAAGAAACAATTTATACAAAGAATTAAATAGCAATGTCAATGTGATCAATGGCGAAATCACTTCACTAACACAACTTAATGAGATATTGACTTACTATCACTTCCCTAACTTATTCATTAACTTAATATCAAGGAATTGATAAGTTAATGTCTCATCTGCCGCCTCTTTCAACTTTCTCTCTCTCCAGCAGTGCTTTCTATCATTTATCCGCACCTCGCCACTGAGAAGTTAATGTGCACCCTTCTCTTTTTCCTAGATTTGTTTGTCAAGGAAGATATTAGAACTCAATCATTTATATCTGTATCGGGGGGTAGTCGTTAAGGATTCCATCTGTGGCTGCCATTACTAATTTCACCTTATGTAAAGCTTAAGAGCCACTCAGAGTTAAAATGGTAATGATGAATGAGATATGTGAAATGAATGAAAGCGAAGGTGGTAGGAACAGGAGGTTATGACGATGAGGAGGATAGTTCATGATTGACTCTTGACTTAAAGAGGTTAAGATTGTAGTGTAGATGGTTACTGTTAAAATGGCTATGGTGAATGAGTGATGTGATATGGATTAGAAGGATAGATAATGTTTGACGACTGACTTGAAGAGATCAAAATTGTAGTGCCCAGAAAAGCACCAACGTGGTAAGCTTTCTACAAAATGGCAATTCTTAGAGTAAAACTGACTGGCCATTTCTTCTTACATTTGCAAGACGGGGGTGACGAGAGTGATTCAACTCCGTGGAAGTGGCATGCCGCGTCCAAGCAGTAAAGGTCAGAACTGCTGGAACTAAAGAATCAAGGTCATCTGGATATTTGCCGAGGAAATGGCAGTAGAATATCGATAGACTTGCAATGTTGTATCTGTGGAAAAGAGTTTTGTATGGGGGGGGGAGATTATTCTCCACTGTCTCACAAAACTGCGTAAATAATTTTGACCTCTACCAAGGTTAGAAAGTAAGGAATGAGTAGCTCCTGTCCAGATATATCATCTTTTTTGTGTCGTGCACCGTCTGAACATGGGCGATCATGGCTCTCCACAACCGCCCTGTCTTTTGTAGCTCTTAATAATAAACTTTGTCTTTTCCTTAACTCTCCTAAACCTTGCTCCGCCATCTATTGATTCAAGCTCGCCAGGTAGGTTATGCGTTGATTTCCTCTCTCCCTCTCGTCTTCAGTCTTTCCATGTGAGTATCAAATTTTCCAAGCCCTCTTTCCTTATTACGTGACCTAGAAATTTTAATTGTCAATTCCGTATGTTAAATATGTGTCCCTTTTGTCCCCATTTTCTCTAAAAATACGGCATTCCTCACATGTACTGTCCATGGTATTCTCAGTAGAACTAAATTTCTGTTGCTTCAAGTCTCTTCTTCATCTGCGAGGAGATTGTCCAGCATTCACTCTGATGAACTTACCTCTGTAGTACCTAGACTTTATGAATTTGTTATAAAGGAATAAAGTGTCGCTGCCGACACTGGAGTTTGAACACAGATCACCAGAGGCAGACACGGGCGATCCTATTTTGAAGAAGTAGATCACGAGATGGTAAAGGAAATGTATATATGGGAATTAGCGTGGCGGCTAAGTGATCATCTACCGAATTACTTCGGAGTGTGCTGGTCAATCTCTCTGCCTCTGGGCAGAGATGATCTCCAGACGAGGCGATGTTGAAGGGAAGAGCCTCGTCTCGGGAAACAGCCACTCGTCCCCGGGTTTTTACGGGGTCTACAGGGAATTTTTTGGCCGGGCCTACGGTCTCGGATACCCCACAATATACTCGGTCTTGTGTCACATCCGACCGCGAAGTGGGTTAGTGAATATCTCACTATACGGATTACTATTCCGATCACTATACGGTGGTTACTATTCGAGTGAGTATTATCGAGCATGTACTATTGCTGCGTGTGATATTTGAAGGCGTCTGACACCAGTATTGTTCAACGGCGGTACTATAGTTGTATCTGCGATTACAAAGTCTCTACTACAACGAGCATTACGAAAGTGACAACGAGTATTCGTTGACATTACAAAAGTGGCAATGAGTGTTCGTTGACATCACAAAAGAATTTAAGCGCAGGACTAGATTGGCGGCAAGGTCTCATCATTTTACAGATGAAATGGCCAGATAACTAATCGTAACTTCTTTACTAATAGTTTTTTTTTTTTTTCGCAGTTCTCTCTTATGGAACTTTCATCAGGCTTCTTATATTCCAGCCAACTTTGATCTTCACAAACTCAAATAGCAATCGTTAAATGCGTCCTCGATTCCTCCTCTTTTATTGTTCTCGCTCCTTAATAATGTTTTTCTTTTATTCTTTCACAGTCAGTAACCCTAGGTGTCTTAGTGGCTTTATTGCCTTGCATGGGATGAAATGATATCGAAGAACTGTTACGAGTTAAATGTTACGTAATAATTCAGTATTCTTTTTCTTTGTTTCAACATAAGCCAATTATCGCGATAGTGTATTAAGAAGTAAGAGATAATCGATGCTGAATTTTTGGCACCCGTTTTAGTTTGGTTTGATTTCCTTTACACCATGTCACCCTCAGTGGGTTATTTAATGCCGACAAGATTTTTATTGCTGGTAATATTTTTATTGCTTGTAATATGTTAGAGGGCTGCTGTTACGTAACAGTTCAGTAGTCTTTTCTTTGTTTCTACAGTAGTCAGTTATCGGGATAGTGTAGTAAGAAGCGAGAGAAAATCGATGCTGCATTGTTAGCAACCGTCTATCTCGTAAGATAATGACCACACCCTGGTTGGTTACTGTTAGAACCGCCGTGAGTGACTTCTAGAATGACTCAGCGATCGGATTCTTGTACGACAACTGAGTAAACGATTTTGAACTGTCAAAGCTTAAAGATATGAAGGCAATAATTTTTTTCCTCTTTATTTTTTTTTTTTTGCAGAAGGCTGAAGAATTGATTGCTTCAAACACACACACACACACACACATATATATATATATATATATATATATATATATATATATATATATATATATAAAATGGATTTTAACATTCTGAATAAAATTGGTAATGTTAAATTATTTTCTCAAATTAATCGATATTATAAATCGATATTTCCAAAACCACACAGTCGAGGAGCTTTTGGAATCCCCTCCTCCCCTACTGTGTTCTTTTGGCCGCCGCCGCCTCCCCCAACATGCGAATATTTGCACCCAATCGTCATTCACACAAGTGCCTCCCTAGCTCAAGCATCGTGCTTCTGACTCAGGATTTTCTGCTGCTTTGATTCCTGGGCAACAACCTCATTTAGTAACCCTCTACCTTGAGTTGCTCTTGGGCCTTGTTTTGGAGGAAATATAATAAGAATAAATACCTAATTAAGTGGTTAGAGAAAATAGAAGAAAACCTTTTTTGTGTGTGTGGAGTAATTGGACGTGTTTATGTGGAACTGACAAAAATTCTCAACAAGCGAAATTGATAAAGTTCTCTATAAACAATAAAAGAACGTAAAAGAATCGGTCAAAATCGTCGTCATCATCGGCAATCGCTCGAATCCGATCACCCTCTCTCCTTATTTACTTTCTTTCCCCCCCCCCACACACACTTCCGGTGGCGGAGATGGCCATGAATCAAAGATAGTTTGACGAGGCCATTCGCGTGAATATGATTTTGGTGGACAAAGAAGCAGGCTCATTTAAACATTTGCCATGGAAATATTTCTAGATGAGGTAGCTGGTAGTCAGCACCCGCTCGCATCCGAGCATCGGGATCGTCATCCTCTCTCCGTATATCCCTTTCTCCCTTCTAGTGGCGGGGGCCGAGATGGTTGTGAAGGCCCAGCCTGCTCCTGAAGGGTGGTCAAAGGGAGGACACACGCGCGAACTTGATTTTTGTGGACAAAATCTGCGCGGCGGTTAAGCCCACACACTTGGCCAGAATCGTCTCCGTCGCGGCTCAAAAGGGATTGAGACAGACAAGAGATCTGACAAACCTGATTGCATCGAGCTGTCGGATGCTTGGTCTGTATTGGTCCGACATGGTTACGTCAGCTCGACTGGCGCTGCTCCTCTTCTGCCGGTTTGGCCGTTGTGATCGTGCCTTTGGGGGTCTTCGATGTTTGGTAGCATTCAGTTTGGTCTCTCCTCGTCGACCTTATCGCCATGAGTAACCCTACAGGAGTTGTAATTCCAGACGTCTTTCCCTTTGACTACACTGGGTCAAAATAATACTGAGCAATAATATATATGTAGGTAAAAAATAGGCAAAATAAAATTAATAAGGCAAAAATGTCACAGTCAGAACTGTGTTCACACGCAAAAGGGATACAGTCAAGTGGCTATAACATTCCTACTTCAAAGGAAAATAAATTTAAAAATATGATGAGATGAGACCGAGAACTATCTATTTTTATTGGTTAGGAAGAAATCCCAGCATGCATTTGTAGGATTTGTTTATAAATTTGAGGAGAGAACGTTCTTGGCAGACATTCCTAACAGAGATTGGTACCATCATTTCTTTTATTAAAAATGTTCACCTAAAACACGTCTTAAGAGCCTCTCAAGGTAGACGGTTACGAAATGAGATCTTAGTATGACTCTAGGAGGAAGAAATAAGTATGCGTTAAGAGGATATGTAGGATAGATAGCGGTTGACCGTAAACGTGAAGATTGTTGTTTTAGTTCTGTTGACTTAGCTTCTAAATAGGTAGTTTCTGTTGACCTTGTGCGATAATAATGAACTACCCTGACCTTCCTATTTCACCACTAATCACTATATAAAAACTTTCTAATGACTAACAGTTTAATTTAGCAGAATAAAGCTTCTAAAATTCATATGCAGCTTTGTCTACTGATTACACCTTGAAAATCAGCATTAACTGTTATGGGTTTTATTTGTGCGCGAACGCTGGCCGCTGGCAGCAAATCCATAAACAGACTCAGAAGCAGGCAACTGAACGCCTGCTTCCCCGCAATATTTCCATGGGGTATCATCCATCCAATTAATTCTCGCTATTTTGTGTCGAGTTTCTCTATTTATCGTCGTTTTCATTTTTTTTTCTTTTCTTTTTCTTTCTTAAATTTTTCTTTTCTTTCCTACTTTCATTCCCTTACTTGCCCTAAAGTACCACCTTCTTTTCCTTCCTTCCTTCCTTCCTCTACTTCTTTTCTTTGTTCAATTGCCCGCCAGACCGGAAGTGACGTTCATTCTCAACAACCGTCCGAGCGAGCGTCTGTCTATCCGGCCTCCTGTCGATCTCATTCGACGGAATTAATGATAGTCGGTATATTCTAACTGTACCAACGTTTTCCGCACTTTTAATCCGACAAGAAAAAAGAAAAAAAAATTTAAAAAAATAGAAAGAAGAACAAAAGCTAAAAGTAGAATGTTAAGTACTAAGAATAAGGCTTGACTGGAGAAAGAACAAAAAAAAGTGCAATTTAAAAAAAAAAAAAAAAAAAGATAAAAAGAAAAGATGGTAAAAAAATACTCCGATGATAATTGATCGTATATAAATAATCGACTTATGGCAAATTGGCAATCAGTGAAACCTTTTCTTAGGTACGCTAAATTATTTTTCTTACGATTTTTTTAAAAAAAATTGTATTTCTGTAATTTTATGAATATTTTATTATATAAAATGCGGCAAATTTATTGACAAACGCACGCACCAACAGACAGAATAAGAAGCAGATTGTATTATCGGAGTTAGCTTCTCCTTAATTTCCTAATTGTTCACTAGGGGTCGCTCTCCTACACTATAAATACTGGGCAACTTCTTGCCTCGTGCTCTTTTTCATTTCTTCATTTCAGCGAACACCTCTCAATATAAGTTCTCGTAGAAGATAGCGTCTTCCCCATGAACATTATACACGCATACGCGTACGTACGAACATTCACACACAAACACAAATGCTGATGTCTTTGTCACATACAAATTTGTTGTTTAATACATATATTTGTTGATATATATATATATATATATATATATATATATATATATATATATATATGGAAAATATATAGAAAATAGGAAGGAACTGGTTGGTAAATAATCCAAAGTCCCTTAGTTTTAAGTTATTATTTTAAAAAATAGTGCTCGAATAAAAAGTATGAGCATAATATATAATTATTATTTAAAAATATGATTCCAAATCACACAAAAGGTCTCATGTTTCAAAACTAGAGCCGTTGAGTTTTCGGCTCTTTTTGAATCATATTTTAAATAAATAAATAAATATTTATATATATATATATATCAGACTTGTTTTGTTTTTCTTTACATCTTCGGTTGGACTCAACTTGAGTCCGCCATTTTTTTACAAGTTGGACCTTCTAGCAGGAATAAAAAACATGCGTTTTAATTCAACAACACGTAAACACACGGTCGTCTACAGTATCAGTGAAAAAACCGAAATAATGAAAAGATCCTCGACGTGGTGATAAATAGTAGCAATTTTGTTTTACGGCAGAGTGGCGAGTGTAGCTTACTAAAATCAAGGCATTTTGAGGTGGTATAATTTTTAGCAAACTTGTCCTGCTAGATAAATTACAACTGAATAAAGAGTTCAATCCTCACTGTTGCTCCATAATTTTGGTCTTGTATCACATCTCTGCTTAGGAAATCACCATATATTTACCGATAATTTGAGCACCTCCAGGCGGTGTAATGGTTAGCAAGCTTGTTTCGCTGGAACAATTACGACTTAGTAGTAAGTTAGATTCTCACTGGGTGACCCCTACTTTTGTCCTTGTGCCACATCTAAGCAACGCTTAGAAAATCACTATATTTACCGATAGTTTTGTAACGAGAAACCCAATGCTGCAGCTTAGTTGCTATTGTTTTAATTTTGAGGTTCAAACTGTGTTGTCTTTAGATTAACGCCTGCAGCACACATAGCAATACCAAGATGATTCCTGGTGGTTGATTCTATATAGTTCATGGCGTACCATATTCCATAACGTCATTTCATGGACTCCTCATGAGTCGCTAAAAAGTTAATGGTGGGTCAGTTTATGACCTTCGGGCATGTGTTTCGCTATCTTTGTTTTACACAATAATAATTATACAAGTGTAAATAAATGTGTAAAAGAGAGATTTTCCTTCGAAAATAAAACCCCCGCCAAATTGTGGTTTAGTATTCATGAAAGGGTGTTCATTTCTTTTCCTTTTGACTTTTATATCTATCTATCTATTAATCTATCTATCTCTGTTCATATCTATCTATCTCAGTCTGTTCATATCTATCTATCTATCTATCTCAGATAGATAGATATGAACAGACTATCTATCTATCTATCTCAGTCTGTTCATATCTATCTATGCATCTAAATCTATAGGGAGAAACTGATTTTATATATATATATGGAAAGTACCTGAAAACAATGCCACTGGTCGGCCCAAGCCTTGTGAGTGAAATTGGGTAGACGGATCTCTTGGGGGCCAACGATAGCTGTGCTAGCACGAAGCCACAAGTCATCGAGGGCTTGAGCGTGCTGGCCTTGTTCCAATTGTTGGTCACGCTAGATAACACGCTCTCACCCAGAAGCTGTAACAGCAGAGTTGCAGTATAAACCACGGGTGGGCTCTGTGGGTGTTGAATAAACACTAATGTGACTGAGCAAGCGTCTGCAATAGGGATTAACTAGCCGCCCGTGCAGACGGGTATCCTCGAAGACGAGTGACCAGCTATATATATATATATATATATATATATATATAAGTGGAAACCCAGCGGCGACAGTCTGTTTCATGCTTATACGCAATTATCAGACTACACACAATGCATCCCTGACCTACCTCTATAAATACTCGAGCAAAAACACAACGCATATGACCTGACGTTTGCCTAGAAGCCTGAAACAGACTGACGCCGCAGGGTGTTGACTTCATTGTCCTTTTTATATTTGATTGGCTCTATCCCTTATATTGAGCATTTTAATTCATAAATATAGCATACCTTAAAGCTATATTTCATTATATATATATATATATATATATATATATATATATATATATCCAAGTATATAATTGGTATATACGAAATGAATTCCAATAACCAACAATTACTATTCTTAAAAGAGTGCTCAATACAAAGTAGAGCAGATATAATTATTTTTCTAAAAGAAAAAAAAAATATAACATAAATGTTATAAAATCACTACAAAAATAGCCATTTTGTTTCAACACCCTCGGTGTCTTATCAAGTGATGATGTTGAATGTAAAATAAATGGTTTTAAAAGTTTCAAATTAATTAACGATCCTTCGTAAGGAGAAAAAGTTGTTACAAAAGTTACAATGACCAATCAAAACCCAAGTATAGGAAAATTTAAAAGCTTGACAACGAAGTCATGTTATAATAGCTATTCAGATCTTTAAAATACGGGTAATATTAAAAAGAATTTATTCTAACCAATAATTATTAAATTATATGATAAAATTTGATATTAAAATTAAAAACTGCCAATTTTAAAAATCCAAATTTAATCACTATTAAGTTTAAAAACTATAAAATTGCTGAGGAGAAAAGAAGAAATACATGTTATTCAATTTATTTCTTCGTTGAAATTACGTTAGAACAGACGTTGGTGTTGAAACAAAATGGCTATTTTTGTAGTGATTTTATAACATATTTATGTTATAATTTTTTTTAAAATTATATATATATATAATATTGATAATATAATATATATATATATATATATATATATATATATATATATATATATATATATATATATTTTCCAAGAGAATAGAATCCAGATAGAGTTCAATGTCCAAGACAGAGTAAGAATATAATATAAAAGGCTAAAACACTACTATTCCATGATTTTAATTTATTACATTGGAATCATAATCACGATCCAATTCGTTAGACCTACAAATTCAAAAAAAAAAAATGCAGACGATAATATCCCCGGGTATAAAAAACAAAATTTCAGTGAGAATTGGATCGTGATTACGATTCCAATGTAATAAATTAAAACCATGGAATATTAGTGTTTGAGCCTTATATATATATATATATATATATACACACACAAATATACGTAACTATACTCGTTTCGAAGAACCTTCGAATTTTTGATTTGCCAATAATCAAATCAATCTCGAAGGAAAAAAAGGTTAAAAAAAGAAAGAGCTAGAAACATGAAAGTCTGTCGAAAAAAATCGCACAGATGCAGGTTTAAAGCCCAAAGAAAAAAACCCGACACGAGTAAAAAACTAACTAACAAAAGAGCTCAATACAACCGTAGAGCAGACCTAGATAAACCTAGTAAGCCAGACAAACCTACCTAGGTTTCACCTAAGCAGATCGTCAGAGAAAGCTTTCCCTGACGATCCGCTTGGGTGAAACCTGGGTAGGTTTGTCTGGCTCACTAGGTTTATATATATTTGTGTATAAGACGACGTTAAATTCTTAAAGTTAACCTCCAAGATAGGGGTCGTCTAATTCAACAATTACTTACAAAAAGCAAACTTTAAATCCTGTGGTGTAACCTTCAGTGAACCGTTTATTTAATCTACGGCGGTAGATTGTTTTCGTCCCTCTGTCCACGTCTAGGGTCCCTCAAACGAAACGTTGTGATGATAACAAAGATGAGGACATTAGTCCGATCCTAAATACTGTAAATAATGCTAACTCCTAATCCTAGAAATTCAGACCTAGAATATTTGATCTGCGTCATATGAGAAGCGTTGGCTTAAGTGCGTTGGCAACGAAGGAGATTATGTTGAAAAATGAAAATCTGTTATGTCAACTAAACGTTTCCTTCCTCACAAGGCTGTACTTTCCAAACTTTTTTTCCTCTAGGTTCACATTTTCTAAATGAAAATTTGCTTGCGCCTCCCCAAATTTTATGTGATAAAAAGTACATTTAAAAATAAAAAAGGGAGATAACCGCGAATTAGAAGTCAGAATATTATTATTGATAACTCTCTCCTCCAATTTGAAGAGCCTACTTACTAGATTAGATTAATACTAGATTACATGCTAATACCCTTGGGAAAGATATGTATCCCGTTCTTCTCCACCTCCTCCATCTATGGGTAAATAGCAGGACAGCCCGGTTTTTATAGCCTTGTATAGCAACTGGTCTACCGCAGAAAGAAATGGCAACCTACTGCGGGAAAAATATCTGCCTCGTCAGTCAGGTATCGAAAGATACATGATCGCCTTAGCGTATATTACGCATGGTACATAATTGACAGAATTATGTATTATTGAGGAATCGGAGACTCGAGTTCGAATTTCAATCGAATCTATTACATTCACTTGTGCTAATACCCTTGGGAAATGTATGAATCCTCTTCTTCTCCCCCTAGTTGTGTGTAAATAGCAGGACAGACCGGGTTCTGTAGCCTTGGATGGCAACTGGTCTATCGCAGAAAGAAATGGCAATTTATTGCGGGAAAAAAATCTGCCCCGTCAGAAATGTATCGAATGATACATGATCGCCTAAGCCTGTATCACATATGGCACATAACTGACTGAATATTTTAACAATGAAATCTGTCACTAATTATTTATAACTATTTGCACTGGAACTCATATATGCAATTACAAGTAATCCATAATAATATTTAAAATTTTGAAATCATATTTATTTTTGGCATATGATTTTTTTTTAAAAAAACTGTTTCTAAATCTTTGATTATCTTTCAATCATTCCGCTTCATCTGCTAACCCCCTCCGTCGCACCTACGGGGGGCGCTGTGCCGTTTGAGAACCACTGTCTTTAAGCTACGAAATTATTGACGTCTGTCCGTAGATCTTCCCAGTAGGCATCAGCTCACTTCCTATCACGGTCGCCTTTCCTTTTAGTACTTGCAAACGACTCAAAACGCAACGAGCGATAAGTACCTCATGTGTAATATAAGCATTTAAGGTACTTACATGCACATATGTTAGTTGGCATATGAGCAGATGTAAAGGAATAAACACCACAAAACAAGGTTATGAGGGCCAACGACACACAGGAACAGTGTGGAAGCTGTTTTTAATCTTTAAGCAACAAGAGTGAAATAACAAACGAGATCTCGCCATATCAAAGATGGAAGATATCTGTTAGCCACATTTTACCAGACGGGAAATTAAAAGCATTACTTTTCTATTATTATTATTATTATTATTTGTTGCGGGTGGTGGGATATGATAATAAGGATGACAGTATGCAACAAAGAAAGAAAGTAAATACAGGAAAAAGAAAGAAAAGGTACAGGAAAAAACAAAGAAAGAAAAAAAAAGACAGTAAGAAAGAAAAAAAGTACAGGAAAAAAGAAAGAAAATGCAAGTCCAGGAAAAAATAAAGCAAGAATAAAAAATGCATGAAAGAAATTAAGGAGAATGAAGTTAAGCGGTTAGAAAGAAAGAAGGAAAGAAACAAAATTAAGCTGAAAGATAGAAAGAGGTTACAATAAAAAAAAAGAAAGATTTAAAAGAAAGAAAAAAACAAACAAAACGTGAAAAAGAACGAAATAAGTTAAGAAGAAAAAAGAGTAAAAAAGGTTACAAAAAAAAGAAAGGGTAATAATGAAAGAAAGGAGGGAGAACGAATAAAAGAAAGAAAGAAAAAAGTACAGAAAAAGAAAGGAAAAAAGATGAGGAGAACGAAATTAAGCAAAAAAAAGAAAGAAAGAAAAGGTTACAAGAAAGAAAGAAGAGAGATCAAAAGTAACCATCTACCTTGAGTGGCTCCTTATTGGATGAACTATAATAAAAATAACAAATGTCCAAACAAGTTAAATCCCTTAGTTCCACCAATTCAAACCTTTAAAGTTAGAACCTGCCATTCCATGTTTTTGGTAACAAATCATCTCTATTCCCTTTATGTTCTTTTGATAAGGAGTAAACAAACTCTCGAGAGGATGCTTCTGTGACAACTACAATCTTTAAGTTCAGGGTCTATCGTAGACATCCTCATCTTCCATCCCCATTCTCTTTTAGAGCAATCTCGTTCAGTAATCATCTACCTTGAGTGGCTCTTGATTGGGTGATCTTTAATAAGAAAAAACAAATGTTCCAACAAGCTTCATTCTTTAGTGTCACCAACTCAGGCATTTTACAGTCAAGATTCGCATTGCTGCATACAGAAGGTTGAATCACCCCAATTCTCTACATTTTCTTTGGTAAAAAGAGCATTTTACTCCAAACCTGTTTTCCCAAGAACTGCTGCTTTGTGGAACAGACTCCCACCTGAATGCTTCCCAGATTACTACAACCTTAACCACTTCAAGCCTAGAGTCAATCGTTATGATCTTCATATTC